GTTGTGGTTCATCTAAAGTTACAGCCTAGATATTCATGTTTCTGTTTCATAAAGTTGACTTACTGTTGTGGTTCATCTAAAGTTACAGCCTAGATATTCATGTTTCTGTTTCATAAAGTTGACTTACTGTTGTGGTTCATCTAAAGTTACAGTCTAGATATTCATGTTTCTGTTTCATAAAGTTGACTTACTGTTGTGGTTCATCTAAAGATATTTGTGGCTAATGTAGACTTTGAATCACAAGTGTGGGAATACGTAACCCTAATAGAGAAGGGGTGCTGTTATTGTTCTCACAGACACTAACACAAGATTTTGTATAGTTTTTTCAGTAAGCTATGGTCATACATTGTATTTTTATTGTTTGGCCAGCACCTGAATACTGGTGTTCAATAGCCTACTTTGAGCTGGACCAACAGGTCGGAGAGACCTTCAAAGTATCCTCTACATATAGCAGTGTCATCGTTGATGGTTATGTGGATCCCTCTGGTGGAAATCGCTACTGTTTGGGGGCTCTTTCAAATGTACATAGGACGGAACAGAGCGAGAGGGCACGGTAATAAGGCAACAATATAAGTGATCTCGTTATCCCTATGAATATTTATATTAGAATGTATTCTAATGTTTCTTTAACATTATTATCAGTTGTGTATTATTTGATCTCTGTTCTAGGTTGACTTTATGTGTTGTCCTATGTAATGTTACTCCCTATATACATTAGATTGTCAGTATTTGGTGAGATTTAACTTATTTATATCCAGCTTTTAATTATGCCTAATGAATGTGTGTCAGGGTTTGTATAATTACTTAAAGAAAGGTGTGTTTTAATCGTTAATTTGGTTACAGAAGATGTAACTACTTCACTATGGGCTCGGTCTCGGGGACCAACCTCGTAACCATTTTCTAGTTTTTATGCTATAACTTTTAACACAGTAAGTGTATCTTAATGAACTTTTGCAGATTGTCAGTAAACATTACAATGCTGTCGTACGCAAAATATCATATATTATTTTTTATAAGTTTACACATATTTAAAGTAATGTTTTTCTCATGCCGTTTTTTCATTTTGAATGTTGCCTATCCAACATGCAAAGTAATTTTGATTTTAAGAGTAAAAATACTTTTATGCATCAGAAAATTTTCAAATTTCACATGCGAAATCTTGAACCACCAGATAATTATCAAACGTTTTTTAGAAAAAACTGTATATTTTATCTGTTATTTTCACTGTTGTATCTCTGTATGGGCTTAGTCGATTTGACCGACCTCGTAACCACCGTAAAAAATTAGAAAATAGATATAAATTATGTTTTTTTTTTTCATTCTAGAATGGCTACAAATTATAACATGAAAATGCCTATGTTTAGTCAAATAGCATAAATCTCATAACATGATACATTTATATATATTTATTATTTTTATTATATTGACCTTTCACCTGTGCCTGACTAACAGTACAGAAATTACAATGATGCGGTACACGTGCACTTATGTTACCGTATCAAATAACATAAAACTAACCTTTGGTCTGTACAAAGTAACTTGTCTTGGCTGTGTTTTA